ATATAACTGGCGTCACTATCATAGACCCATAATCGCTTAACAGCGATTGATTGATGGCTCGCCGGATGATTAGATGATCAAATGAGGATAATTGTTTTCACTTATCCAAATTTTCTGGTTGTCATGTCAGCAATGTGCCATCTTTCTCCCATCAGAAAGTACAAGTTGTTTGTTGGACCCAATGCAACATCTGGAATGGTCATTGTAAAATGTGTTTGTCTCATTCTAAGAGAGCTAAAAAAGAAAGACACTCTGAAGCCACAAGGCCATCAGACAGATGGTATCAAATCTTGTTCATCCCTCTTGCGATTTTAATTGCTGAGATAAAAATAAATAAATAGATAAATCTTAAAGACTTTTCTCATTTCACATGTTTCTGGAATTTTAGTTGTGCTAAACTTCATCCTTGATTGGAAACATGACGTCTGTGGGCATTATTACCACTGTTGTATAACCCATTATGTTAGCAACACATTCAAACATGGTGGTTCTCCAACAGTCATCCAGAAAGATAAGTACGTCTTGGCTAGTTTTAGGCAGAACTAGCTTTTTAAGATGTTATCGCAGCCACAGTATAAATCTAAAGACTTACTTTATGAATTTTAAGGAAGGTTCATGTCTCAAAGCAGCTGCGACTCCCAGGTTCTGTGGGCGTCTGCTGAGCCGCTGATGTTTTGTATAGATTCCTTTCACTGCTTTGTATAGAGAAAGAGATGTGTGGTTTGTTATGTCCGCACATGTTTGTTTGTGATTTCGTGTGTGAGTGGGCGAATGTGTGTTTTGGATGGACGTGGGTGTGTGTGTGTGTGTGTGTACGTCTATAAATGAGGAACATCTGAAGGGCCCTGCTGGTGGAGTGTGTTTATTCGACCCCCTGAGGCTCACAGCAGTATTGTGCTCAGATGCTGGAATAAGGGGGATTACAAGGGGATAGACCTGGCAACTCTAAACAGATTTAGTTTCAAAGCTCTGCCCCAAGCAACTTCTGTCTTTCGATCACCACACACACATATAAAGCTCATTGGGCAAATTTGGTTCCCTCAGGAGTATCTTTGATCAGTGAGTGAATGAATGACACTCAAACCATCATATATGTTATGGGGAATACAGTTAATGGTACCAAATAAACGTATAAAAATCATATCTATATATTTTCAATTTCATTTCACAGATGAAGTCTAAATTAATTAAGTTTCAGAGAAGCTAGAAAGATTAATTATTGCCTTTATTTACAATTGCAATTTATTTACACTTAAAAAATTCAAAACCGCTAAAAGGAGTTTGAATGTACTTACCTGAATCAATGTGACCTATGATATTTGTTTTAAAGGGGTCATATGATGCGATTTCATTTTTTCCTTTCTCTTTAGAGTGTTACAAGCTCTTGGTGCATAAAGAAGATCTGTAAAGTTGCAAAGACTAAAGTCTCAAATCCAAAGAGATATTCTTTATAAAAGTTAAGAGTTAGCCACACCTACCTAAAACGGCTCGTTCGAACAGACTTAAAAGCCAAGCATAACCTGTATGCCTTTCTACTATGAAACGCAATTTGTGCTGGTTGCTGTTTTTTCATGCAATTACTGCCGTAACTCTGTTGAAAACTATTGGAAAGACTTAGGGGAACAAATAACAACACAATTAATATCACTTTGGAAATAAGGTTCTGATATTAAGTAAATGTACCAAACTATCTCTTTTTCTCTCTGAAGAACCTGGCCTTTTGTGATTAAGAGTCCTAAGAAATACAGCAACCTCTCCTTCACGGAGGCCATGGACAAATACAAGTGGACAAGGAAGAGAGGGAAAGCATTCAACGACATTGTACGCAAACTCCCCATGAATGTTCGCTGCTCCAAGATCGGCCAGGATGAGTGGTCGGTGAGTATTTCTGATTACACAGGGGTCTGGGCATTATCCTTTCATTTTCATTAATTTTAAAGATGCAAGATGTATATTTGACCAATAAGGCATCTAGCACTTATACTGACACCTAGTGATGTGGATGCAGAATAATACAAAAATTGTTTTTTGATACTGAAGGCAAGTTAAGCATGCTATTCACTGTCAATCAGCTTTTGTTCCGTGAACAAAACTGAAAAAAAAATGCTTAGTGCATAAATGCATTATAAAGTTTGGGGTCAGTAAGATTTTTCTTTTATACAGTGAGGATGCATTAAATTTGTCAAAAGTGACAGTGAAGACATTTACATTCTTTACATTCTTTTGTACTTTCTATTCTTCAAAGAATCTTGAAAAAATGTGTCAGTGTCCACAAAAATATTACTCAGCACAACTGTTTTCAACAGTTCTAATAACAAGAAATGTTTCTGTATCACCAAATCACCATATTAGAATGATTTCTGAAGGATTATGTGACACTGAAGACTGAAGTAATGCCTGCAGAAATTTCAGCTTTGCCATCACAGGAATAAACTATATTTTAAAATATATAAAATAGAAAACAATTCAAATTGCAATCACATTTCACAATATTACTGTTTTAACTGTATTTTTGATTGAATTAATGCATCCTTGGTGAATTTGAGAGACTTCTTACTGAGCCCAAACTTTTAAACTGAAATGTAGCTCATCCACGTCAGAAAGCTGATTCAAGTTCTTTCTGTCGCTATTAGATTCAAGGGATGATCATCTCTCCTCCAGAGCTGAAGTCAGAGCAGACGTCTGCTGCTGTCGTGGCCTGTAGGAATGTCTCAGAGATTCAATGTGGATGCTCCTTTGTTCTGCTCCTCACTGCATGTCTCTTGCTCATACTACAGACCTGCTTACACCTCTAATGTCTGCTGTCATCTCAGCCCCCTACTCATAAACATACATACAGCAGGTTCCCATCAGGCCTAGTGTTTCCCAGAAACAGTGATGCTCAAGATTTACATCTTGCAGATAATACAGTGTAATTGCACTTTGTGACTCACTCTTACTTAGACTAGATGAAGTTTATCACTAACACTGATCACAACTGTGCTGTATTCATGTAGGATGTTGGCATCATACATGCTTCACATGGAATATCCTTGGTTAGCGGATACTGTGGTCTTGACAGCCTCTCTAACAAATGCCTTACCATAGTTGTAAATCTTAATAATCATACCACATGTCTGAAATAGGCTGTCACACTCCAGCACACCACAACTTATGTCTTAGTCCCCCCAAAAATGAATTTTTTGTCATCATTTACTCACCCTCATGTCATTCCAGTTCTGTATGACTTTCTTCTGTGGAACACAAAAGAAGATATTTTTAAAAAATTGTATTGGTGTTTATTTTTGTACAATCAGTTAAAGTCAATGGGGTCCACTGTTGTGTTGTACCCCATTGACTTTCATTGTAAGGACAAAAACAGTCAAAACTTCTTCATGAGCACTGTCATGCAGACTTCCTCAGAAGTTGTGTAAATTTTTCAATACCTTCCTCTCAGTCACACTGGTAGTTTTATTAAAAGTTACAAAGTGAAAATTGCCTTTAAAAATTCACTAACACATGCAAATGTGTTTAGTCAAGAGCTCTGCGAACTGTGTTCCTCTCATTATAAGCTAAATATGTGTTTCATAATAGAATGCTGGCATTATATTCAAAACCATTACATTTTATATGCTGTCTATGTCTTTTTAAGCAATAAATGTTTATTTCTTGTAAATATTTAGAGACTTATTACTGCATTTGTAGCTGGAGTTTTTAATGAAATGACAGACTCATGGCAATTACACCTGTATCTTAGGTAAACATGTTAATTGTGTTTTCTTTGCATTGTTTAATTTAGTTTGCTTGTTTGTTTGCTTTTAAGGTTAAAGTTACCTTGTTCATCCGAAAATGAAAATTATTCATATAACATAAAAGAAGAATATTTTATAAATGTTGAATGTCTTAAACAGGCTCTTCTTCAAGACCAGAACTAGTTAGGATGTATTTTAGTTATTTGAGATTGAACTGAAGGGATGTGATTGTTCTAAAGGCTCGCAGTAGATTTATGCAGTGTTACAGCGGGGTACTGTAAGCCCACTGTTACCACATGAGAGTCCCTGGTACAGCAGGTAACATCTCTTGCTAAGGCCTCCAGGCTCTCTCACTCTCACACACCCCAACACTGCAAAAATGTGCCAATGTGTGCTTGAGAATGCCACAGAACGGTGTCCTTCCCTCAGTCTCTCATTCCTAACTCTTTCTGACCAGCCACAAGATGTTCTTCAGGAGCGGTAAGATTTGTTATTTGTATACTGTTTCCAACTTAGCCCATGATGGCTCTAATGAAGGGCTAGTTGTGTTGAAAAGATGACTGTACCACAATCATCAACCTAAGACTGAAAGAAGGAGGGAGAGGAAGTATGAGCTCATTTCTTTTTCTTTCTCTTCAAAAGACTCAGTCTTTTAGACCTCATGCCTTTTATGTTGGTGTGTTTAGTTCTACTATAATAGGCATATGGAAAACAGCAGCCAGGCATCATGGGTCTAGTTAACGGGCCGCTATAGGAGGTTGCGGTCATAGTAGAGTTTAGGAGAGGAAGTCACTGATGTAATACAAGGACAATAGCCTTTGGTTTGGGACTGTACTTCTTTTTCTTGTCAGCTGGAGCCGTGAAAAGAGTTTTTGTGACTGAGACTTTCCACGCTTTGGTGTGGGAAAACCGATCTTCATCAGTTTAGCCACATCACAGGAACCACAGATGCTTAGACGGTGTCCAAAATCTCAACTAATGTAAAGAAACAAGGATTAAAAGACAGGATTTTTTTTAATATGTACAGTATTTGTGGTTGGGATATTGTTTGTATTGTGGCCTGAACTGGGTTATATAAAGTAGAGAGACTTGAAAAATTCATGTTTGGGAGTCTAGTAGTCTAACAGTTTGTGCTGAACTTTAACTGAAGTTTAGATTCTTGTAATGGAACATCACAGACAGTTGAGAATATGGCAGGGTAATGAGAAAGCTAACACATCCTGTACTGCCCAGGCAACTTCCTGTTGGTTTTGTTTCCATTTTGACAAAGTCAGGACTGTTAGGCTTTATATAAAACTTTGCAAACCTATTTGGTTTTTAAAATGTGTGTCCTACTACCTGTTTGGCTTGAAGACATTTCTCAATATTTTAAAATTATGTAAAAAAATAAATAAAAAAAAACTGAAAACCTGACATGAGATTTTTGGACATATGTTGCTTCAAAGTATGTTAATTCCCATAAGAGCCAGCAGAGGGCAGTGTTTGCCAGGGATGGAAATTACTTACTGGTTCCTTTCTGTCACAGGGATCTCGAAACACAGAGATGTTCTCTGGTCTGATTTGGAGAATACTAAAACGTGTTTACAGCCTCATGTTTCGAATTTTTTTCTAAGAATTTCTAGTATGTTTTATGAATAAACCTATTTTGAAACATGATACTTTGCTAAACTCAAAAAAAGTGTCCACTGTGTTTTTCGGACATGATATCATGGTTTGGACATTTACCATGATATTATTTTAAGTATGTTGGTGTACCAGTCTGTTCTATTACTATATTACAGAACAAAACAAAAAAAGCAGTGCATCAAATGAGTACTCTGACATACACTATGGAATTAAAATTCATGTATTTATATAGATTTTATAAGATACTACCAAGAATACCATGTTACTTACATGGCGCATGTACAAAATGGTAGTATAAGCAAGTTGTTTTAAATGTTTAAAGATTGTTCAATGGTTTTCTGAAGTGACATGTGCACCAAGTCTGCCTTTTATTAGTTCTTTATCATTTCAAGCATTTTTTTGTTCCATTCAAAGTCCTTTGCTAAAGTGCGCTTGTAAATGACAAATCCCATCTGCTCCTTTACATTCTGTCCCCGCTCATGTACTTTTTTATTCTGTCAGTAATTCATGTCTCTGAATCTCAGAATAACCAGATACAAATATTCTATGTCACTTTAAGGTTCAGCTGTTACAAAATAGTCGAAGCATTACTGGAATTCATCCCTGAATGACAACCGACTGACTATTTGCTTAAAATAGATTCAGTCATATTCATTCAACATCCTCAGAAGCTTATAACGCACGATTATATTTATCTAAATATTATATGACTTTGGAATGAGAGCTTTGAGGCACAGCACATGCTCCAAACTACTGTCGCTGAGGTAAAACCCCCTGTTTGTCTCCCAATCAGTATTTGTGGTTGGGATATTGTTTGTATTGTGGCCTGAACTGGGTTATATAAAGAGTAGAGTAGAGAGACTTGAAAAATTCATATTTGGGAGTCTAGTAGTCTAACAGTTTGTGCTGAACTTTAACTGAAGTGTAGATTCTTGTAATGGAACATCACAGACAGTTGAGAATATGGCAGGGTAATGAGAAAGCTAACACATCCTGTACTGCCCAGGCAACTTCCTGTTGATTTTGTTTCCATTTTGACAAAGTCAGGACTGTTAGGCTTTATATAAAACTTTGCAAACCTATTTGGTTTTTAAAATGTGTGTCCTACTACCTGTTTGGCTTGAAGACATTTCTCAATATTTTAAAATTATGTAAAAAAATAAATAAAAAAAAACTGAAAACCTGACATGAGATTTTTGGACATATGTTGCTTCAAAGTATTTCAGATTATGTTAATTCCCATAAGAGCCAGCAGAGGGCAGTGTTTGCCAGGGATGGAAATTACTTACTGGTTCCTTTCTGTCACAGGGATCTCGAAACACAGAGATGTTCTCTGGTCTGATTTGGAGAATACTAAAACGTGTTTACAGCCTCATGTTTCGAATTTTTTTCTAAGAATTTCTAGTATGTTTTATGAATAAACCTATTTTGAAACATGATACTTTGCTAAACTCAAAAAAAGTGTCCACTGTGTTTTTCGGACATGATATCATGGTTTGGACATTTACCATGATATTATTTTAAGTATGTTGGTGTACCAGTCTGTTCTATTACTATATTACAGAACAAAACAAAAAAAGCAGTGCATCAAATGAGTACTCTGACATACACTATGGAATTAAAATTCATGTATTTATATAGATTTTATAAGATACTACCAAGAATACCATGTTACTTACATGGCGCATGTACAAAATGGTAGTATAAGCAAGTTGTTTTAAATGTTTAAAGATTGTTCAATGGTTTTCTGAAGTGACGTGCACCAAGTCTGCCTTTTATTAGTTCTTTATCATTTCAAGCATTTTTTTGTTCCATTCAAAGTCCTTTGCTAAAGTGCGCTTGTAAATGACAAATCCCATCTGCTCCTTTACATTCTGTCCCCGCTCATGTACTTTTTTATTCTGTCAGTAATTCATGTCTCTGAATCTCAGAATAACCAGATACAAATATTCTATGTCACTTTAAGGTTCAGCTGTTACAAAATAGTCGAAGCATTACTGGAATTCATCCCTGAATGACAACCGACTGACTATTTGCTTAAAATAGATTCAGTCATATTCATTCAACATCCTCAGAAGCTTATAACGCACGATTATATTTATCTAAATATTATATGACTTTGGAATGAGAGCTTTGAGGCACAGCACATGCTCCAAACTACTGTCGCTGAGGTAAAACCCCCTGTTTGTCTCCCAATCTTGGTTTCCTCATTAGGAGTTTGAGGTCAGCATTTAAGCAACCAGAGTACTGTCTGGGAGCACACTGACCTAAATATGCCTCTATAGGCCTAAAAACAAACTTTTTCTATTTTCTGGTAAATGGCCCTGTTGGGGGGGAAAAAATGCTAACTGCTTAAAACCGAGCTAGTTAAGTGGTTAAGCTAGTTTCCCTAATCTAGCTGAAACCTGTCTAAACCATTTTTTTCTGTACTGCATTAAAAAAAATCAAGCATTATGATATTTTTATGTATTATTCTATAATGCAGTACATGTTGCTATTGTAGTATATAAATAATACTAAAACAAGAAAAAAAAGAAAAACAAAAATAATATGCAATATGAATGATATTTACATTTTTTATTTATTTTTATTGTGTACCTGAAAGCAGAATTTATGCCCAGTTTCATTTGTCTTTGATTCCTGTCAGAATCCTGCTGAGAGCCGGGCCAAATGTACCAGAGTGTTCTGCCAGCCATATTTTTAGACACGGTGCCAGCCCACGGGAAATACATTTCTGTATTTATCTTCATCTGGAGGGAAAGGAAATAACAGCAAACCAAAAAGCTACAACTCTTGTTCGAAACCTACATTCCTCTACTGCCCAATAAAACGGTTCCAGCTAGGATTTGCTTACGGG